CGACGGACAGTGTACACTTCCCCGCCGTCGACTAACCTGGGTGGAGGAGGCAAAGCAGGAGAATCCAGGGGACTGACCGCATGGGGCTTCAGCAGGGAGACATGGAAGGTCGGATGGACTCGCCGCATGGTCACTGGAAGACGAAACGCCAAGGGACCAACAACCTTGGTGATGGGGAAGGGACCAACAAACCGGGGTGCCAACTTCCGAGACGGAACCCATAGAGGAAGGTTCCTAGCGTCCAACCACACTCTCTGTCCCACACGGAAAGCAGGAGCCCGAGACCTGCGGCGGTTGGCATAAGCCTCCATGCGCTTACGGGTACATAGCAGGATGGACCTGGCCTTGTTCCAGGTCCGTTGACAACGACGAAGAAAACGGTGGACGGATGGGACCAGAACCTCCTTTTCCAGGGGCGGGAACAAGGGAGGTTGATACCCAACACAACACTGGAATGGAGACATCCCCGTGGAGGAGACAGGCAAGGAATTATGGGCGTATTCCACCCAAGAAAGGAAACCACTCCAAGATTCAGGTGAGTGTGAGGCCATACAACGTAACATCCGCTCCAGGTCCTGGTTGGCCCTCTCTGTCTGTCCATTGGACTGAGGGTGGAATCCGGAGGACAGACTAGCGGTGGCACCAAGCAGCCTACAGAACTCCTTCCAGAATCTGGAAACAAACTGTGGTCCCCTATCAGAAACAATGTTGGAAGGTAGACCATGCAACCGGAAGACGTGGTCCACTAATAACTGAGCCGTCTCTTGGGCAGAAGGCAGCTTGGGAACAGGAACAAAATGTACGGACTTAGAGAAGCGGTCCACAATCGTGAGAACTCCAGTGAAACCCCTGGACGGGGGAAGGCCTGTTACAAAATCTAAGGAGATATGAGACCGGGGCGTCGGGGAACAGAAAGAGGCTGCAATAGACCTGCTGGAGCCCAGGAAGGAGTCTTATTACGAGCGCACACCGGGCAGGCCGCGATATACCCACGGATGTCCTGCAGCATGGAAGGCCACCAGAAGCGCTGTCCAAGAAGTGCCCGGGTGCGATGTATGCCAGGATGGCAGGCTAAGAGGGAGTCATGTCCCCACCGGAGGACCCGGGAACGCAGGAAGTCAGGGACAAAAAGCCGGTTTGGCGGACAACCCCCTGGTGACTGGATGGACTGTTGGACAGCCTGGATAGCCTCCTCAACTACCCAGGACACTGCTCTGATGAAGCGGCTCTCCGGCAGAATAGGCCCCGGGCACTCCTGGGAGCCCTCTTCTCCAAACTGTCGTGACAGGGCATCAGGCTTGCGGTTCTTGGAGCCTGGCCTAAAGGAGATATGGAAATTAAAGCGGTTGAAAAACAGTGACCACCTAGCCTGGCGGGCATTGAGTCGCTTAGCCGTTTGAAGATATTCAAGGTTCTTGTGGTCCGTGAGGATCAGGAAAGGGTCCTTGGTGCCCTCTAGCCATTGCCGCCACTCCTCCAAGGCCAGACGGACTGCCAGCAACTCCCGATTACCGATATCATAGTTCTTTTCGGCAGAGGTAAGCTTGTGGGAAAAGAAAGCACAAGGATGCATCTTCTTGTCTGTCGCGACTC